TCTGGGTGTCCGAGTACCACGAGCAGAACACAGTCCCGACTCAGGCCATCAAATCAAACGGCCTGCACCCTCCTCCGTGGGCCCAGGCCTCCCTGCAGTGTTGAGCTCGGGTGAGAGTTGGGGCCAAAGCACCTGAGCCCGAGGACGCCCGGGGGCTCCTGTGGCCCAACTGCCCCCTGGAGTGCAGAGCTGGGCGCCTGGTCCCTGCCCATGTCCAGCCAGAGGCCCCTCCTCTATGCGGCCTCCTATGGCCCTGGCCACTGCAGCGTCTCGGACGGCACTGCTGCCACGGGTGAAACGGAGGGCCCGGGCAGATCCAGTTCTTGTCGGAGCGAGCACGCCACGAGGACGAGCACGCCACGAGGACGAGCACAGCACGAGAACCAGCACGGCACGGGGACGAGCACGACACGGGAAGGAGCGTGCCACGGGAACGAGCACACCACAAGGATGAGCCACGAGGATGAGCACGGCACGAGGACGAGCATGGCACGACGATGAAAACCGCACAGCGGCCACGCCTTCTTCCGGGCATTTCCCATGGAAGCCGCAGCCAGCACCCTGTATCCGTCCCTCCCACGCCGCCGACCTGCCCACTTCCCTCCCAGCCCTCCCAGGGCCTGTCCGAAAGTGACCCTCAGGAGACCCTGGGAGCGCCAGGGGCAGGGCGATACCCACTTGCTTCGGTGCAGAGGCAGCCTCTGGGGTCTGCTGCGTCGGCGCTCTGCACACTCGGCACGAGCACACGCGTGTGTCTGCGTGCCCGACACGCTCCCGGTTCTCTCCCCCAGAGCAGACTGAGGGAGCGGCACCGACGGCGGCTGCAGTGCCCGGCGTCATCGCGTGGAAGTGAGGGAGGAGCTGGCCAGTCCCGCGGCGGAGGAGGGCCTTCCCAGGCGGGTGGTCGGGAACAGACGCCCCTGCCAGCAGCGGGAGCCCCTCCCACCACACCCACCGAGTAGGCCGTGCGCCCTGCGTTCAGACAAGTCTGCGCCTTCCATGCCTCGTGCGCTCAGCTCAGGCCAGCTTGGCTATGGGTGGCCCGCGTCCTTAATACGAGGTCATCTGTGGGTGACAAGCTATAGAGAGTCTTTTTGTTTGTTTGTTTAAATCTAATATTTTAACCCCAGATAGCTGCTCAATCCCCGTATTAGAAACGCGCGTGTCTTCCTCACAGGAGCCAGCCGAGTCTTGGGCCTGGTGGAGTGGAAGTAATTATGTGGTTACAGTATTTTTGTCTCTGAAATGTTCATATGTATTGTGACATTTTTCATTACAGTGGAGGAGAAAACAATTCGCAGACAAGAAGAGGAAAGACCGCGTCCCCACGGCCGGGCTGGGGTTGTGGGGGCCGGTTTCTGGCTGCAGATTTCTCCAATGAGGCCGCGCGTGGGGCCCCGATGCAGGCACTTTCCGGCTCGTTCTGCCGCTCAGCGGGGGAGGGGGAAATAGGCGCTTCCCAGCTGCTCGATGGCAGGACAAAAACGTGAAATCTAAACCTTCAGTAGCCGGGGAAGCGCAGGACAGGTGGTGAATGGCTTCCCGGGCAGATGGCCGTTCTTGATCGTTGCGCTGGTTGCGAATTTGCTCTGCCCGCGGCCGGAACGCTCCCTCACGTCCTACTTTTTTCTCCTGAATGGTTCCGAGATGGTGGGCAAAGGGTTAAAACCCACCGCCATGGTTCTCACAATGAGTCACCTTATTTATGTCCTCGGACCGGGCAGATGCCAGTGTGCAGCCATCGCCACCCTCCCGTGCAGGTGGGCGCCCACCCCACGCCACCTCGTGCCCAGGCCCACCCAGCACCTGGGCCGTGACCCCTGCGCACGGTCTAGACACAGGCTGAGGCCTCGCTGGCGAGCAGCCCCGGCTCTGCGGCAAACCCTCCGGCAGGTCTTCCTTCCTCCCCCCACACCCGTGGCGCGCTCCTTACAGACCGGAAGTGCACAGGACGCAGGGACGTGTCCCTCCCGGGCGCGTTCCTTCTCCGACCTGAGGTTCCAAGGCTTAAAGGAACGGTTGGAACTGAGGGAGATCGAGGCTGAGGCCCACTCCAGGACCGGGCAGGGCGGCTGCCACTGTCCCCATCAGCCCCTCTCCTGCCACAGCCGCATCGGCAGGCAACCCCACCGCACCCCTCCCACCACCGCCTCTGCTTCCGGAGTGGACCTGTAGGAGGGAGGACGCCGGCGTGAACAGACCGGCTGGAGGCCGGTCCCACCCAGGAACGCCCGGGGCCTTCGGGGGAACAGCAGCAAGGACCAACCCAGTTACGGGGCCAGCAACCCTCCAACAGAGAAAACTCCCTTGAGGAGTGGGTTCCTCGAACACGCATGTTCTCTGACACCCTGAGTCACGGCGAAGGCGTGAGCTGTTAGCATGGCCCGTGGCCAGCCTTCCCGGCCCCAAGCTGTTTCCCTCGGAGCCCTAAGGTGACTGGCCCACCGACCCTCTGGGCGTAGGCAGCCATTCACACACTGATACAGGCCCTGCAGTTTGAGCGGAATTCTAGAACGTACACCAGGGCTTCTCAGCAGGGGCCCTGCTACCACTGTGGGCCAGCTCACTCCTCACCCCAGGGTGCTGTCCTGGGTGTGGGGGGACCCCAGGTCTCTCCCCACTAGAGCCAAACCCCAGTAGCAACCCCCCCCAAGATGTCTCCGGCCATCACCAAATACACACCGGGGCAAAACTGCCCCCAGTTGGGAACCAGCACGCTCAGCCGAGGGGGACTTGGCGGCTGCCCCGCCCACCTAACAGAAGCAGGAGCTCCCTGCCCAGCGCAGACGGCAGTGTCCACCTGCAGGCACGTTCAAGTTCACACACCATCATGAAACCAGTGCGAGAGTGGGGCGAGTTCCCCGGGGCAGCTGCCTTTCTGCAGTCGTGCTGACCCCACCACTCTGTCTCCGCCCCTCCCCCAGCCCGTGCCCCGCCCAGGAGGGGTGCCTCCTCCCCCTCTTCCCCCGCCACCTCCTCCCCGTCTGCTCCAGTCCACCCACTCTGGGCGGGGAGGCCGGGGACTGCCCAGCAGGCTGCCCGGAGCCCCACTGAGAATGCTCCTCAGACAGTCAGCTCTTCCACTAGCTTCACTCCAGAGCAGCCCTGACACATGCAGCGTCCCCCTCGGTCCCCTCTGAGCCCTGGTTTCCAGAAACCTCACGGAGAAGTTCTGCAGAGCTTTTGGCCATGAATCCCGCCCATCTTGGGCACAGGCCTTCTGCTGAGGTTGAGCAGGACAGCCAGGAAGACACTATGGGAGGCTGCATCGCCCACGGCCCCTCACCAGGGACACCTGGCAGCAACCCATCGCCACAGACGCCTGGGACGGGCCACCAGGCTCAGAGGCCACCCGCCGGGCTGGGGTCCAGACCCAGCCTCCGCCTGTATTTCAGTGTCAGCCCGTGCCTCCACAGTAAAGCGAGGCTTTCAGCGCAAATGGACCGCAGCCAACACCATAAATGCAATTTCAGAAGCAGCCTTCGGGGCCCGCCCCCCGCATCTCCTGACAGCATCCGGACAGTTACCGGAGATGGACGACGCCACTGCCCGTCTGTCCCCCACCTGGGTGCACGTAACGGCGAATGGGATTCCAGAGCCTTAGACGCCACAGACGTGGAAAGATGCCTAATTGGGGCGTCACTTTATAAATCCTGTGGAGACACGCGAGGGGAAGCCACCCCTGGGCTCCATGGTGTTTGGTTCTTTCTAAGATTAATTTTCTTGAAAAATAGTAAGTCATCCTTCGTAAACGCCAACGGATTGATGGATCTGAACCAAAGTCTTGACACAGCTGTAAATTATGTTCCACGCAAGAGATTATCTCTGTGGCTCATTCATCTTCCCATCGCGCCCTAAATGCATGTGCACGCACGTGCGGAAATGGGGGAAAGATCCTGTTCTTGAGAATACAGTGTTCTGCCAACCAGCTAATTCATCAGCCCCGCGGACGAACGTGGAAGCCGGGGGGCCGGTGTCGGGCGAGGCGAGCGCGGCAAAACACGCCCCGCACAGGAAGCAGCCGGGTCTTTTCTCTCTCCCCCGTAAACTCGTGTCTACGGCCACCCAGTGAAGTCTCCTACTGCCGGCAACCGAGCAAATGATGCCAGAACTAGAATTCTGGCATTATCCCCGGGGCCGAATGAGTACTAGAATTCTGCGGGACTTCTGTTCGAGTCAGCGCACGCATAAAACGTCAAAACTAAAGTGAGAAAACTAGCCCGCGAGACTCGAGTCCCTGCTGAAGGTCACAGCAGGTCAACATGGCTGCGTGTCAGGGAGGGGACCAAACACTCATTCACAGGGACAGGCTGGACGCGGGACGCTCTGGTTACAGTCCACAGACACCGGTGGGCAGTGGTGAACACTTGCACCATGGAGGCGCCCCATCCAGGGACTAGGACCCTCCTGAGCCCCTGCGTGCCCAGCTCCATCCAAGACACCAGGACGTCCACCTGCCCTGGGCCACCAGGGACTGTCAGAGAGCACACCCACAGCACTAGGACTCAGTCGCCTCTGTGGCCATCTGTCCTCTGTGACCGCAGGCTCCGGCAGGCTTCCACCGGGGCCCCGCTGAGCTGAGGGGCCCGGCCGACAGGCCCAGGTGGGTGCTGCCAGGTGAATGGCTTGGTGAGCTCCCCCGGAGACCCCCAGCTTACGTTTCCATCTCGTACTGGCCGAGACCACCGTCTGTCTCCCAGCACCCTGCCTCTGCTCCCCCCACCCACACTCCGCGTGAAGGAGCCGGGGACTTCTCGGGGGTCCTGCCGCACCCCCGCCCTGACGCGTCAGTAAGGGAGGTGCCGCTTCTCCGGCAGACTGTCGGCTTCGCCCCGTCTGCCCCGTGCACCGGACGAGACCCTGTGCGTGGACCGACGCCGCACACACCGGGGCTCCCTCCCGCCCTGCGCCGCCCCCTGGAGCCAGCTTGGTGGACGCCTGCGGCCGGTCCCTCCCTGTTCCCCACGCGGTGGGCTCGGGAACAGCTCAGGCTCACTCACCAGAGAAGGGGGCGGTCCGCAGGGGTATTCTGATGGGCGCCAAGGTCAGGAAGCGGCAGGGGTGCTCCTGGGAGGGGGATGGGCCCCCAAGTCCCTCAGGGTCCACGGAGACCATGGCCGCGGCGGCGATGGCGATGGCGGGGCTGGTGCTGACAGGCTTCAGGCTGTTGTGACAACCACCTGCAGAAGAGGGACAGGAGGGTCAGCATGGGGACACCCGGGGCCACAGGAGACGATGACACTACAGGACACGCGAGCACCGGGAACAGGTGGGAACGAGGAGCTGACCCCCTTTCTGGGACACGCAGACCATGTGCCGTGATAAGTGTGGTGAGTTTTCCGAACGTCGAGGGCGCGTGTGACAGTCAGCGAGTCCCAGCACCAACTACCACCCATTTCCTACAGAGCCGGGCCTGGGCTGCAGGGCGCGTGCGCACCGTACGGAGCCAGAGATGATGGGGAGAGTGTGCGGGTGCTGGGGGCAGGGGCTGCTGAGGGCCCGGGGACAAGGCCGTGTGCGAGGGGACGGGAGGGGCTGTGCTCAGGCAAACAGGGCCCCGAGCCGTGGCTGCCGCCTGACCAGCCACCGAGGCGGGGAACCCAACCCCCGGCTCAGCTCCCGGCGAGGGCCCAGGCTCCACACACAGACTCCAGCTGGGGCTTTGGGCGTTACCAGAGGAATTTGGAAGTCTCCCTACGTCTCTGCTCTTCCTGTGAAACTTTAAAAAAATGGAACCCTCAGTCCCTGAAATAATGGTGGTTTCTAAGGAGTATTTTGTAGGTACCGGTTTATATTGATGGTGGAAATCTTGTTTGCCCAGCTCTGGAAAACAATTTAGAAATTGTTTTCTTAATCCTAACACAGTGCGCAACTTGGCATTTCCCTTTGCGCGCCTCATCCACCTGCCCGGTGCCCTCAGAGGGCGGTTTGCAGAGAGAAACCAAAGTCATCGGCAAAAGGCCCAGTTGCCTGCAGGGGGCTGTGTCCACTCGGCGAGCCCAGCAGCCAGTCCCTCCGCATCGGGAGGAACGGTCAGGGCCCAGGACGGCTCCCGGTGTGCGCAGTAACATGCAGACCCCAAAACCATCTCTCTGCCGACGCTGCGTGTCCACTGGGCCAACACCGCTCCCTCTGGTTGGCTCGGGGCCGAGCACTTTAGCTCACGGGGACAGAGCAAAGCTCAGGGAAGGTCACCCTCAGGACCACACCCACCAGTGGGGACGCACGGTCCACACTCTCCTCGTCGGTTTGCTTTATGCGAAGGCTGCTGTGCCGTGGAGAAAACTCGAGTGGGGGGAGGTGGCTGGGAGCGGCAGTTGGGCTTCAGCCCCCAGTGGGGTGGTCAGGTGGTCAGGAAGCCCGTGCTGGGAGATGTTACAACATAAACACATCCCATTATCACCAAACGGCCTTCCCAGGGCCAACGGTGAATCGGAGCCCAGGGTCCCAGGCCCGGGACCAGCCACACAGATTCGCCACACTGGCCCAGCAGCCCCCACGTGACAGGTGTTGTCTACTTTAAAAACCACGACCTGCACAACCGGGCACAAAAAAGTCAACTTCCACATCCGTTGCCCCAGAACAGACGTCCGGGGTCAGACGGCGTGGCCGTTTGGATGTGCGTGTGCCAACCAAGGCAGTGAGTGTGAGAACATCAGCGCCCGGCTGCACCCCGTGCAAACACATCTGTTCGAATCTGGTTCTCCCCCTCCACAATGAGTGTCATTTCTCCGTGGGTGTCCTCGTGGGGCCCCACCCACCCGTGCGCCCTCCTCATCCAGCCCACAGGTGCGGCCGGGCGGTCAGAGAGCCCGAGCCCGAGCCCTCGGGGACCGCTGCCCGGGGACCCCCTTTTGCGGACCCCCCTCCTGTCCCACACGGGCTTGCTGACAAGTGAGGAACTACCGGTGTTTTCAAAGAAACGGCCGCAGAAGCAGAGGCTGCTTTGTACGTGGACGTGCAGGGACGGTTCTGTCCCCACGTGATGGCTTTGTTGTCCAAAGAGATGTGTCCACTGAAACGGAAACCCAGGAAGTAAACGTACCTGCCGGTGAGAGAAAAGCACGCGGGGAGAGAGTCTGTAACTTTGGGGTTCGTTTGGTTATTACACAGGTACCCTCTCCAGTGCGCTCCCGAAATCGGCGGAATATCATCAGGGAGACGGGAAGTCGATACATAACCGGCGCTGACAAGTGTTTTCCTGACTCCTCTCTTCCCTGCCCACCCCCCGCCCCACAGTCAGGCGTCTACCCAGTACCTCTGCACGCTTGACCGCACACGCTCGGGAGGGAAAGGTGACGCCAGGGTGCAGACGCAGACAGACGGACGCCGCAGGGACAAGCCATCGCAGAGCTGAAGGCCGCCCCAGGACGCCGGCTGCTTCCCGAGAGGGCCGCTCCGCTGACCCTCGGAAGAGGTGCGGGCGCTCAGTAAACTGTGCTGGCCGATAAACAATTACCGAGACTCGCTTTCCCCAAAGGGCTGCGAGAATCCCTGAGTTCAGTAAATAACAGTGAGATGAGATGGGCCCAGCAGAAAAAAAGAAAAGAAAAACCCTGCTAAGCCAGCTAAGAGATAAGCCAGAGATGCTATCCCACACGGATTACTTATAAAAATCAATGTTTTAAGCAAAACAGTGATTAACCATGCGCTTGCCTTGGAGGGGGCCACCGCCTCTGCTGCAGCCCCTGCACCCCCCTCGCTGAACTTGACAGTTGTTGACCGTCACCGTCCACCTTCTGCCACCACCCAACCTGCTGAGCGCTGTCTGCACCTTCCACCCGGAGGAACCCCCGATAGACACTTGTCCCTGGGGTGCCACCAAAGACGGCAGGCTCAGGGAGGCCCACGGACCTTCAGGGAGGCCACAGACCGGAGCGGTGCCAGAACTCTGCAGGCGGGCCCCTCCGTGCGGGGCGCCTGGGCCACCGGAGAGTCTGGGAGGCTCTCCGCTGGGCACCCAGCTGGGGCCCCGTGCACAGGGGCCTCTGCCAGTGGCTGGCAGGCCGACTTGTGTAACCGCCACCGGCCTCGGCAACATGGCGGGCAGGGGGGGGGGAAGGGTGGGGAAGGGCTTATGTCGCCTGCCGTGCTCACAGGCACCCTGGTAGCGACCGACGCCCTCCTACAACTGGAACCCAGGCAGAGCCCCGATTTCTTTTTAAGGATTAAACAGAGAAGAAGAAAGACAGAGGCTGGTGGCCACTGGGACTGGGACAGCGGGACACTCAGAGGCTCCAGAACCTTCTAGCATGAGGCCAAGTGTGGTACAAGTTCAAGACCAGCACTCAGAGTCCCCACTCCAAGGTTCCCACTCAGGGTGCCGCTTAGTGGCTGGGGGCTCTGCCTGTCCCCACTCCCGCTGCCCCAGGCGTGCCACAGAGGGTCACTGCTGTGCCGTGCGGAGGACAGACCGAGCTGCAGGACCCTCGCCCCAGCCCAGGTCCCCGTGCCGAGCCCAGGGATGTTGTGGCACTGGGGGGTCACCACTCACTGAGGTGAGGTCGCAGCAAAGAAAAACTACTCAACATGGGCATCTACGTCCACACACGGGACGGAGGAGAAGCCCGTGGGTCCAAGTGTCTGAGGCTGCTGTAGGAGGGGGAGGACCTCGGAGCCCCGGGCTGGCCGAGGAGGGTGTGGGGCCAGGGACAGGGTGGCCAGAGGGGCTCCTGCTGTGGCAGAGGCCTCTCCTGGTACGAGCTCACCCTGCTGAGCCACAGATTCAAACCCACAGGCCATCGCTGGCTCACCATGTCTACTGAGCAAATGAGCTCAGCTCCTGTGGAAGCCGTGTGGGCGACATGTCCACCAGCTGGACGCTGTCCAAGCAGAAGCAACGGTGCCCAGGACAGGGACCTGGGACGAGGAAACGCAGCATGACCAGTCCTTTCAGGAGACTAGTGAGGGGTGCTCGCATCTCAGGGACCACCCAACGAGGGTGCCCCCACGCATGGTAGAATGTTGCTGAACGAGGTGAGCCCGGTCCTTGCCTGCTGCTCTGGGTGTCCACACCTCCAGCTGTTTCCGGGAGGAGGCACCGAGTCCTGGTCTCGTTGGTTTCCCGTGAGCTGGGCTGTTGTGCATGTCAGGGCCGGGCTCCCTCCGCCGTGACTGGCCCCGGGAGTTCCCCTGGGTTGTCGTCTCTGCCACCAAACGTGCATGTGGGCGAGGCGTGGGCGACCCTGGCCCGCCTCCACCTGCCAGCCCGGTCTGTGAACTGTGTCCGCTCACAGAGGAAGGCGGCCCTCAGCCCCTCCCCCACTGGCTGTGACACACCCTGGGTGGGGACAGACCACAGACCGAACCACTCAGGGCGGCCCTCTGTGGGATGCTCCCTGTTAGGCAGGGTGGGCGCTGCCACCTCGGCTGGACCCTGAGGACCCAGGGTTAGGCTCGCAAAGTGGAAGGTGGCGCCTGGCGCTGCGGCAAAGCTACCCCTGGCCAAGATGCGGCGCGTGGTGGGAGCCACCGCTGGGCACCGCCTGTGTGGAAGGGGTGGCCGACCCCGTGACCCCCTGTCGGCATCACGGGCAGGCGAGGGCTCCAGCGGCCGCGGCAGACACGCCCGCTTTCTACGGCCCGAAGAGGAGAGAAGCACTCGCCTGCGTCTCACAGCTTCTTTCTGACGATAAAAGTGATACGCGCTCATTAAAATAGAAAGTAAAAGCTATCATGCAGTTGGGAATAAAAGCACCCCTGACCCCCGCAGCCAGGAGTGACCTCAGCAGCAGCACCTCGGGGGTGTCCATCCGTCCATCCATCTGTCCGTCCGCCAAAGGGGGGCGACGTGGGTGTGAGGGCGTGTCCGGAGCTCGGAGAGTCTGGACCATCCCGTCCAGACAGGGTGTCCCCGCTTTTATCAGCTCTCACTGAAGCCGGACAGGAGCATTGGCTCGGGATTGAAGAATCTTCCGGTGCGACTTTCCCGGAACCTGGACTGTCCGTTTCCGACGGCCGCGCATCACCATGCAGCAACCCGGTCATTTCGTCGGGGACATTTTCGGTTTTGTTCTCCCCTGGAGGTTGCAGGTTGGCACGTGTGGCCGCCCACAGACGGAGAACCACCGGGTAAAATTATAGTCACACTTGACAGGGCCCGAAGGCCAAATGGCACACCCGTCACACACTCCTTCCAACAGTCGTGCAAGACCAAACACACTCTATTCACGACAGCAAA